CAGCAAGTGACTCCTTAAAATTGTTATTAACCAGCTCAATTACTACAATTATTCTTCTGACAATTAAAAATATTCCCCGGTTTTTTCAATTTATTTTTAACTCACAGATTCTTGCCATCAGGTAGACAATTCAAGAGAAAAATCTCATTTTAAAGTCAATTTCAAGGAAAAAAAATAAATTGAAAATTATTAGTATTCTGGAAAAACTACCTTGATATATTTTTCTTCTCTTCCCTTAAGACTATTGTTATCTCTGTCTGTGAGAGTTTTGTTGATTCCCCCAATAGAACTAGTTGATTCAACCTAGAACTATTTTTCATTTTGTTTATGTTAAAATATTTACTTACCATTTTGCCAGGTGCCTGTAGCATTCTTTATACTTTTTAATAGCATTTACCCATTACACTATAATTTAATGTACATTTCCTTGCTAGACTATAAACTTAAGAACAAAAAGTTTGTTGTTTAATAATACTTGACATAGATTTTGACCACCCGTTATATCCCAATCACTGTAATACACTCTTAAACTATATTATCTCAAGTTCACAACAAAAAAGCAGGTATTGTCACCCTCATTTTACTGATCAGAAAATTCATATTTATGAAGCTTAATTAATTTAGCGCAGGTCCCACAACCAGTAACAGGCAGACCCACTCTGAATTTTAAGCTGGACAGAAAGTCCAGTGTGAAGAGGTAACCTCTTGAGCCAAAGCCAACCTGTCCCACTCTGATTCTAAACTGATGTTTCTACTGTGACTTATATAGTTTCTTACAACATGTAAAATCTTGGGACTAGTATGTACATCCCACGAATAGTGCTCACGTTTTAAATTAAAACAAACAAGAAACCTCTATTCCATTCCATTCTCCTGCCAGCAGCTGTCACATTTCATTCCTCTGCTTTGTAGCAAAACCTTCCAAAGAATTGTCTATATCCACTTTCTTCAATTTGTTTCCTCTGATCTAAAACATAGTCCAATAGGGCTTTCATCCCCTCTGCTCCACTGAAATCTCCCATCAGAGTCACCAGTGACGTTCACGGCTAACTCCAGTGTTTCTGTCTCAGTCCTCATCTTACGTGAGCTGACGGGAGCATTTGGCACTGTTGATCTCACCTCTGTCCTTAAGTTACTCTCCACTTGGCTTTCTCCTACCTCCCTGGCCATCCTTATCCCATGTTTTCTTCTTCCAGACTGATCATGATCTTAGCCCCTAACCCTCTCCTCTGTTGTATATGTCCTTACAACCTTTGTTGTCCCTGATAGCCATAGTTACATACCTTTGAGTACATTTATATGTCAACAACTCCAAAACTTATATCACCAACTCCAGCATCAGTCACAAGCTCACACTTATGCACTCAATATGTCTAAACTAAATTCTTGATCTTACTTTTTAAACCACTTCACCCACAGATGGCCACTCTGGATAATCAGTTCTCATAATTCTAGAAATTAGCTTGAATTTCCTTCTGTCACACCCTATGCCCAGGAAATCCTACTGGCTCTCTCCTCAAAATATATCCAGAATGTTCCTTCTCATCACCTCCACTTATCTGAGCTACCATCATCTCTCCCTGAATTACTACAATAGCCTTGTGACGGTCTCCCTACTTCTCTTGCATTATTTATGGTCCTTCTCACACCACAGCTAACATGATCTTTTTAAAATATTAGTCAGGCTATGTCATTCTCCTGATGTTTAAAAATCCTGAAATTGCTCCCTGTTTCACTCAGACAAAAGTCAAAGTCCTTACAATGGTCTAGTTATTAGTCTAGTGCTTTTATTTTATATCGATATTAATAGGAGAGTTCTAAACAAGGTAGCTTTTGAAATCTCCCATTTTCACTCTCAAAAAGTTACTCTGATTTTAGGAAAACCATCTAATATTGAAGAAAAAAACTATAAGAAAAATTAGTT